GACTTTGAAGATAGCAGTGAGTTGCCAACAACGAGGTTTCTAAGAAAAACTTTTTTTTATTATTGAATCCATATATTCTGCCGATTTGTAATATGAGTATATTTTGGTGGGTGCTGTTATGTGATAGGTTTCCGCTTCTGATGATCTTCACCTTTTTAAGAAATATAGAAATTCAGAAAGTTATAGATTCAAGATGAAATTCGCAGAACACCATTATTTTTGCATTAACCTGATATAACACACATACAAAACACACACAAAGAATAAACAACATTCACAACTGAGCTTTTCAGCAAATGACAACCAACTCATCGGAGTCAAAACGGAAGATCAACGTGGCTGCAGAAGAGAAATTCGGAGGCAATGTTGATGTAATTTGCTCGAGAGGGCATTTCTCCTATGTCTTCGCATCGAACCTCTACTGTGAAGCAACAAAAGATCTCGTCACCTGTATAGCTTTCCGACAAACAGCAGCTGTATAGCATTATGCGATGTTTCATAGATTTATGCTTTTTCGAATGATCTGCGGCTAAACCTGCTTTGCACATATGTTAGTCAGCACTCTCTCACGTCCTCAAGTATCTTTGTCACGCAATTCTGTTCCTCTCAACTTACTTTCCAAATTGCGTTTCATATTCGGCTCCTCTGCACTTTTTGTAAAGAGAGGTTGTACAGATTAGATCATGATAATAATTGATACCATTATAAATTTGATTTACATAATAAAGTTATTGCTGAATGAGTCCAGCGCTGGAAATGTTTGAGTTTTTCTTATCTCGTCTATTACAAGTTGTGGGGAATATTGTAAGAAACCTCAAGCAACACGGGTCCGACCTCTTCATACTGATAAGGAAAGTATATGAATAAAATATTGATGTCCCGAACCAGGACATATGACATGCCAAGGGCACGAAGGGCGCGATTTCACAATCTCGCCCAAACAGATATCGATACTGTTGGCAGGTCAGACCTCATCTAATTTTCGAGACTAGAGCAGACCATTTGGGTCCTAAAACGTGCCACTCTAATCGCTCTGGAGCATGTGTAATATCTGTCTCAGGACGAAGGCGGTCGCCCTCTAAGGTTGACAGCATGAAAGGCCGACGCGCACGGGGCACGCGGACAATTTTCAACCATGGGCGTGCGTGTATAATCGCTGACCGAGCGTGCATGCACCCCATGGTTGAAAACTCCGCGCACCGCGTATACGTCGCTTTTTCATGCCTTCAACCTGTTTGGGCGACCGCCTTCGTTCTGGGACAGATATTAGTTTTCTAACCAAGTCAGGTTCAGCTTGACAAGCGAGCAAGATATGCGTTCATCTAGGTTCGATCAACCAATCAGATAACTGATAATAGTCGGTAAACCGCTTTTTACTGAGAAGGCACACATTACGACATACCCTTCTATCTTGAAAACTCCGCACGTACCGTTGTTATTTATGTTGTTGATGCCGTATTCGTATGTCAGCGTATTATAGCGCCAGTGCCGTCGTG